ACCATGGTTGCTGTAAAGCACCCAAAACGTCGGGAATTAAAAAAAAATAAGTAAAAGTAGTGAAATAAACGCGATAAAATCCATAAATTTAGTTTTATTCAATGTGTAGTGTTCGCGTAAATTTAAGAAATCATTATGATTTGTGGTTTATCAAATCTGATGTAATGTTTGGGGCCGTCTAGGATATGATCACAAACTGCAGACTTCCCGGAACGTTGATGCTTCACATCAGCTATATGTTCTTTTACGCGGGTTCTAATTGATCTTTTTGTTTGTCCTATATAAGAGAGACCACATTCACAATCAAGCTTGTACACTCCTGCATCTTGTAGAGGAATATGACACTTGACGGATGGTAGGAACTGACTAATCTTCTTCGGCGGCTTGTAGATTTTTTTAATATAAGCTCGCTTCAAGATGTAGCCAATCTTGTCTGTGACACCTCTGACATATTGTAGTACAGCAGGCACACGCTCGACTGTGGCCGGCTTCACTCGGTCACTGTGACGTAGGCGCGGGACCCGAAGCTTGTTGTCGTGCAGAACTTGCTTGACGTGCTGAAGCTCGGCGGCCAGGTGTTTGCTGTCACAGATCCCTCGTGCTCTCTGTAACAAAGATTTGCCCACGGTAGCTAACTGTGAAGGATGGTGGTGAGATTCACCGTTTAAATATCGGTTTGTATGGGTCTTTTTCCTATACACAGTGTGACCAATGGTGTTGTTAGGATTTCGGATGACTAACACATCTAGAAAAGGTAAGGAATTATTTGCCTCTAACTCCATGGTAAATTGAATTTTAGAGTTTATGGAATTAAGATGTTCTAAAAATGCAGTTACTTTGTCTGATAGTAAAATTGTGAAAGTATCGTCTACGTACCGCTTGTAGATCCTTGGTGTAACAGGTTTAGTCAGGAGGGCTTTCTCCTCAAAGTCTTCCATGAATATATCGGCGACAATGGGAGTTACAGGTGAGCCCATCACAACACCATCTACTTGTTTGTAAAACTCTTCCTTCCACAATAGATAGCCAGATGTAAGGCAATGTCTGAGTAATATTGCATATTCTGCTGGCATGTTATTTTCCTCTAGTTTCCTAGTTATAATTGGGATGCAGTCTTCAACAGGTAGGCATGTAAATAGAGGCTGAACATCAAAACTGACCATGGTTTCATTGTCAGTAAGACATAGGTCTTTTATCTCAATGACAAAATGGTTTGAATCCTTAGTGTGTGCTCTTGTGTGTCCTCTGAGTGGTGATAATATTTTAGCTAAGTATTGAGCCAATCTGTAAGTTGGCGAATCAATCTGACTTACTATTGGACGTAATGGAGCGTTCGGAACCGCTGCTAAAATCTGAAATGAATTGAGGCCACCAGTCCGGTCTACTCTATCTCCGCCTCCGACTTCCGAGCAAGATTCCCTGGCTCTGTAAGCCTCTGATACCCCTTCAAATTAGTGAATATATTTTTATATTTTAGTACGTATTATTTAGTTTCAATTATTTATTTATTGTTGAGACGTGTATTTTATTACTTGCCTAGTTGGCTGGCTAACTGGTTTGTATAGTTAATGCGCAAAGGCTATGGCAAAATAGCAGGAATAGGTTTCCAGTTAAGACTGAGTCACAGACCGTTTTCTCGGAACTAATTATTAATTTATTTAAATTTTAAGATTTTATTTTTTGTAGCAAATAAATACTTTCTATTTTTGCACGACTGATAACGCGACAAGTTTGAAGTAGTGCATTGCTCTCAACACGTCAAGGTCAAGCAATTTTGAAAATGACTTCATCAGAACCATATTGCACTTATACGATAGTATAGGTGCAATATGGTTCTGATGATTCAAACCGGTTCTGTGTACGGCCCCGTAGGGCCGTACACAGAACCGGTTTACACAAACAAAATAAAATGTATTGTTATATTATTACTATTATTACAACAAAATAAAATGATTAGGAGAAACACCTCCAAATAAAAATAAAAATTACATAAAAACTTATTAAAATCTTCTCTAAAAAGGACATTATTAACAGAGCCATAACACATAACATATTGCTGCATTATTATTATTTGATTTGTTTATTGCTGCTGTTTATTTTTTAGTTTAATAATTTCTAAATATTATGAAATTGTAGTAGGTAACTTTGATATAACTATCTTATATTTTGTTTTTGTTTTTTTTTTGTAACTTATTGTACTTGTGTATGTGATGGTGCATAATAATATATAGTTTTGAGAGCGTGTACTCGCCGACAAACTGATTGCGGTTTGGCGAGAGAATAATAAAAAAATGTACTTACCTTTGTATGAATAAATAAATAAAAAATAAAAAATAAATATTTTCTAAGAAATCGTTTTTATTGCTACTTTGATAAAAAGTGGTCTGAAAAAAGTTCTACGTGGACGTCCGGATGTTGATTTTGTTTGATGTGGTCACGATAACTCCCGAAAACACTGACGTGTCGAGATCGGGTCTCTTATCAGCTTCTTCCCCATTTTATATTAAAAGCCTAGTACGTGACGTTTGTAAATAAAATTATTTTCAAGTTTTATTGCTATTAAAAATTAAACGGCACTTTAATTTTTTCTTTTGCACTTGATAGACGAAGGATAAATGTTCTTAAGTGGTAGAGCCGCCCTGCAGCTATGTTATGGTTGTAGCACGAATGGGTCGGTTCGACAGGGGAAGGACCACACTCTCATAGAAAACCAGTGTAAAATAGCAGCTTGACACTGCTATGTTTCGTATGAGTAGTGTAGAGAACCGGAGACACGGTTTACTGGAATCGAGGCATTCCATCTTAGTGCTCACGGGTAACAACGCATCTGCATTTTGATTCTTAATGGAGGTTAAACGTAGATGTCTATGGGCCACAGCATCCACTTACCATCAGGTGGGATGTGTGCTTGTTCGTCAGCCTAATTTCATAAAAAATGTACCCTACAGACTGTATTGGTTTAAGATTTTGTGTAAAAAATATTTTGGTTAATAATTTTTTTTAATTAAAATTCACTATGTTAGACATGTACAAAAACAATATAACATATCTAATTTCTCTCACATTAAACGATGGCGCCACTTAATTCAGTTAAAATGAGATATTTGATTTTGATAACATTATTTTTTATTCTCTTAAGACGTGCACTTTTGGATTTTCCAAACCATATTAATTTATTTAAGCATGGCTCTACCACGTACAACTCTACCACGTATTGTTGATCTCAGTCAGGATCAACGTAATTTGGGAACGAGTTGGTGTAAGAGAAAACTCTGGTACTGTTTGTAGGAATAGCTGAATGTAAATTACAGCTAAGTGGCGCGACAAACCCTAAGAGGAGGACTGACTAGAGAGAATTTTTAGGTGTAGAGGATATGTTGAGGTGAAGATCGCTGGTATTCACAGTAGCCATCGCTCCCGCCCGTACGACGCGATGGCGAGTGCATAAATCCTGGTTGGCGTAAGGAGAAGCGGTTGGATAGACAGGGTTATAAAGATTATTGAAACATAAGAGCGTGTGATGAGTGTTGCGGCGACAAACGTAACATTTATAATCTCGTTGGCTAAGAGCTATAGAATGTATCAAGGCATCGATAACTAAAGTTTTTTTATAGGATATGGGGCAAACGAGCACACGGCTCACGTGATGGTAAGTGATGACCCTTTTCTTGAAGGTCCATAAGTCTTATCGGTCCGGAAAAATCTCTGGTGGTAGTTAAAAGACTTGCCATCTAGTGATCATCCTTTTATAGGAATTAGGCACACGTACGTAAATAATGAAAGGAACTAGGACACATAAGGCATTTTTATTTTGAGAAGGAGGCTTTCGTAACGTATGCATGACGATGAGTTATTCGATACGATGTTTTCTTTAGCAAGACCTCAGCGAGAGTAATATTACCTACTAGTATTTTATAATGATGGCGGCATTGATATTCTAAAAAAAGTCTGCAGTTTTTTTTAATAGAATAAGGGTACAAATTAGTTTAGTCTACTTGATGGCAAGTGGATGCTGCGGGTCATAGACATCTTTTCTCGATTAAGAATTAAAATGCAGATGTGTTGTCACTCCTGGGGACTAAGATAGAATACCTCGTTACCAGTAGAAAGGATCTCCGATTCTCTGCAACCCTATACAAAACACAGCAGCATTAAGCTGCTAACCTTGATTTGATATCAGTGGGCAGCTTACAGACATATTATATGAACAAGCATGTAGGACTAATGCTTATGAAGAGTTCTAAACGTTTCAAATAGCGATAAGAACTTCATAGTGGATTTAGAATGGCAGTACTGAGGCCGTAAGTCGCGACGATATAGTCAATAAAGACATTATTTGACTAATATAATTCTTTTTCTTCTTTTTATTTTACTTCAAATATTTATTTCATTATATATTATTCAAACATTATATATATATATATATATATATCATTCATATGGATGCTTATTTATGAAGTTTATAAACACGTATATATATGTATGTATGTGTTAATGTTCATATATTTATGTTATACCTGCCAACAATTGTCCTTGGCACCCAGGGTTGACTGGCAGAGAATGGGACATGGCATTAAGTCCGCCCTGTGTACCCTTTAGCATAAGGTGTTACATATAAGTTTTTAAATAAAATAAATACAATTATCCGCTAGAACCTGTGAGTATACTTAAAGGTTAGAACTCGTTAATTGTAATATTGTCTTCTTTTTAGGAGTTCATGGGCTCCAAGCTCCAACATGTTGGTTGGTGTCACCACCTGTAACAATCTGTGGGGAAAGACTAAGTTCAGCAGTGGACAACAGTCAGCAGTTATTTTTGATGTTCGGTCCGTTTACGTCACTGTAGCGCATAAGGGCGCCACCGACAGCCTATGTCCACCAGTGGTATAAAAGGTGTACTTATCGTATGAAGAGGCAAAAAATAATTTAGTGAACGATGTACAATTGAGATAAATAAAGTATATTTATTTAAGACGTGAAATAAAAATTAATATTTAGGTATCAATCACATTTATTTAATACAGATAATATGTGTGGAAACAGATATTTGTCCATATTTCGTCCCCATATAAAGTCTAAGTGATTGAACTTCTCGACTGAAAACAAATGGTAATCAACAACGTTGGGCAACTTGTCCCTTAAGAGTTCCGTATCTCCTATTGTAGATATACCGTCATTGCCGCCCACAAACAAAGCTATTTTCATTGTTACCTTTAGTAAATCATACTTCGGTGGAGCGCGGGCATTGTACAGAACAAGATTTTGCTCTGGACCGTAGTCAAATTGAGCGAACTTCCTGCGTAATGCAACTTGACTGACATGCTCTATGTTCTTTATGGACATGCTGGAAGGATAGTTGGCAAAGATTGAAGGTAGAAATTCAGGTTCTAATTCTTCGGGATGATTTCCACCAACTTGGAATATTATACCTTGTATACAGAGCTCATACCCTATCCTTTTTAGACTACATAACCTTTGAATTAGACGTTTTAGCAAAGAGTTATCATTTAACAATTCAACCACACCAATAGAGCGTAACGAATTGCCGACAATTGGTATCAACGGCAATAAGAAGGATGTGAGTGGTTTCAAGTGATGTAAGTAGCAAACTGGGGCCAGTGCTATCATTACCTTGATCTTTTCATTATACTCGGGCCTTGTTGATCCCAGAACATAAAACACTGTATTGCCTTGGGAGTAGCCTATTGCACTCAGCTGCCGCTCACTTGTTCTTTCTAAAACGAAATCTATCGCCGCTGGAAGATCGTAATAACCATTTTCATGGAAACTGAAGTCCCAGAATTTGGGGTCGAGGTCAGGATTCAGGTGAACGTGTTTTCTAGAACGTCCGATTCCTCTTGGGTTAAGAGCCCACACGTCGTAGCCATTGTTGGCTAGAGTTATTGCTAAGGATTTATTTCCTCTAATTATAAATACTTCAACGTCTTGAATCATTCCAGGGAGGAGAAGAACTGGCTTAGTCTTGTCGCCGGCGATGTGAAATATTTTTAAAATGTATCCATCGTCTGTGATTACATCAAACTCGTCCACATGGTAACCGTACTTTAAACCTAATGCTGCGTATGTGAGATTTCTTTCACCAATTTTCTTCATAGGAATGAACTGGCCTTCAACACTAACGCACAACATTATGTAAAATGAAATTATAATAATGTAATTTTGATCTATCATTTTTTTTAAGTTTCTTATAATTTAAAATATATAATATTAATTTTAAATTCGAGCTACTCCTACGTTATCCGTAGCGCATCTGAATGAATTTAACGAATGATTATTTATTTATGGAAAATACTCTTTGTAATGTCCTTGGAAACTCAAGACTTTAATCTTATTACAAGTCAGTGCATAAATGTAATAAACTTTATACAATAGTCTAATTAATATGCTAATATTCAGTAGCCATTTTTAATTTACTTTGGGATAATTATGTTTAGATTGTTACGAATAGAGATATCATGCTTAGTTTATTGCAGTGATTCCCAAAGTGGTCTATATTGACCTCTAGGGGTCTATGACAACCTGCAAGGGGTCAACGTCAGCGAAAAAAAAAATTGGGGGTCCATGAAATGAAAATGGGGGTCCACGATAGTGGATCTCAACCCATACACTAATAGTACCTATTTACTTACATCACTCTATCTTATAATATCAAAACATATACATTATTTAAAAGTACCTATGAAGTAAAAAATTTATTATGTATGTTTATAAAATTGTATGAGTAAAACTTAATTTACGGATTCTATCGCGTTTATTTAACTGATTTTACTTATTTTTATTCCCGACGTTTCGGGTGCTTTATACTATGGTCACGGGGGGGACTGAGATGTTTGACGTCCCAATGTCATTGTTAGCCCGGCTACCTTCAGTTTTTGAATATTAATTTTTGGTCCGATTTACGCAAAACGAACTTAACAGTATCTTGAAGTCTTGCAGTGGTATGCTTGGGTTTGGGTTTAATTTTGTTAATTATAGGATCCCAAGCAGATGGCCGCACCCAACCATCTTTTCTATTGAAATTAGGATGTTTTTTAAGTTCGGAATCGGTGTTCTTTTGCGAGTATTTGTGGTTTATCAAATCTGATGTAATGGTGGGGACGATCTTGAACATGTTCACAGACTGCAGACTTCCCGGAGCGTCGGTGCTTCACGTCAGCTATATGTTCTTTCACGCGGGTTTTTATGGATCTTTTTGTTTGACCTATGTAAGAGAGACCACATTCACAATCTAACTTGTACACTCCTGCATCTTGTAGAGGGATATTATACTTGACGGATGGTAAAAATTGACTAATCTTCTTCGGCGGCTTGTAGTATGTTTTAATGGAAGCTCGCTTTAAGATGTAGCCAAACTTGTCTGTGACTCCTGACATATGGTAGTACAGCAGGCACACGCTCGACTGTGGCCGGCTTCACTCGGTCACTGTGACGTAGGCGCGGGATCTGAAGCTTGTTGTCTTGTACAATACAACAAGCTTCAGATCCCGCTTACTTGCTTGACATACTGCAGCTCGGCGGCCAGATATTTTCTGTCACAGATCCCTCGTGCTCTCTGAAACAAAGATTTACCCACGGTAGCTAACTATGAAGGATGATGGTGAGATTCACCATTTAAATATCGGTTGGTATGGGTCTTTTTTCTATACACAGTGTGACCAATAGTGTTATCAGGATTTCGAATGACTAAAACATCTAGGAAAGCTAAAGAATTATTTGCCTCTAACTCCATTGTGAATTGTATTTTAGAGTTACTTTGTCAGATGGTAAAATTGTGAAGGTGTCATCTACGTACCGCTTGTAGAATCTTGGATTTACAGGAGCAGTAAGAAGGGCTTTCTCCTCGAAGTCCTCCATAAATATGTCAGCGACTATGGGAGATACAGGTGAGCCCATCGCCACACCATCTACTTGCTTGTAGAACTCTTCCTTCCACAATAGATAGCCAGATGTGAGGCAATGTTTGAGTAATATTGCATATTCAGCAGGCATGTTGTTATCTTCTAGCTTTCTAGTTACTGGCATGTAATCTATCTAATAGCTTTCTAGGTAGGCATGTGAATAGTGACTGAACATCAAAACTGACCATGGTTTCATTGTCAGCGAGATGTAGGTCTTTTATCTCACTAACAAAATGGTATGAATCCTTTGTGTGTGCTCTGGTATGTCCTCTCAGTGGTGACAGTATTTTTGCCATGTGTTATGCCATCTTATAAGTTGGTGAATCGATCTGGCTCACTATAGGACGTAGTGGAGCGTTTGGTTTGTGTATCTTTGGTAACCTATACAACCTTGGTGGTTTGGTACATGATGGTATTAGCGAATTCACGTCGAGATTTATTTTTTCGGAGTATTTCTTTATTAAATCGCTAGTTGCCTTAAGCGTGATAGTTGTGGGGTCTGTTTTGACCTTTTTATATGTACTTTCGTCCGATAGAAGCTGTAGTATTTTAAAACTATACTCTGACGTGTCCATTGTTGCTGTAGCGTTTCCTTTATACCTTTAAGAAATCATTAAGTTGTAGGATGTTGGTATTCGCTTTGTGGTCGCACTTTGAACTTGTAAAAACCTGAGAGTCGCAGTCTCAGAGCTTCGCTACCTTGCACTGAATTGTTCAATTCGTCACTCCATAAATACGAATGTGGGACCAGTGTTGCCACCTTAGTGGATTTTCCACTAAATCTGGTGGTTTGGAACCCCCTTTTAGTGGCAAATTTTTGCTTTTAGTGGCTAGTGTTTTTTTAGCGGATTAGAAATTTTATCATAAATTATAAGAAACGAGTCGTTTCATATAAATAGTCGTTTCAAACGTCTTTAGCCATATTTTATACTTTCAAAATATAAACCTATATATTTTTAGGAGTATATTTTACTACGCAGGCAACACCAATTCATTTCCATAGACATTGGATTGGAAAGCATTCACGGGGTTTCCCCTTTAAATATATTTAGTATAAGGCGACTAATAAAAAACGATGGAATGCAAGGGCGAGATCTATCTGTATCTCGCTCTCCGGAATACTTAATAGTTGAGAGGGATATAATTTCCGCTTTCTATTCTATTTGACAGCATTTTACAATACTTAGTCCAATGTTTTTGAACTCGGTCACGCACGGTTACTCGGATTCAGTGCGTTGTTGTTTGTTTTTGTTTCGTTTTGCGATTACACATTTTTAAATGAAAATATTATTCATACGACGCTATGCCGAAACCTCAATATTCCCAAAAATTTAGGGATTCTTGGCTTCAAGATCCCGATTTAAAAGAATGGCTTCAAGCAGTTGAAAGTACCGCTGGCCAAGTAGCAAAATGCAAGTTTTGTGGAACGATATTAAGAAGTCACTACGGAGATTTAAAAACACATGCTCTTTCGAAAAACGCCAACAAAATAGAAAGGTAAATTATAGCTTTTTCTTTATTATTTATAACGGTTCGAACTTGGTCAATTAATGAGTTTGCATTTAAATTTTTCTTATACATTTCATTATTTGTTTGTAGGTTATCACCAAACAACCTAAGCTGACATTCAAAAAGGAGTCTACTGATAATAAAAAGAAAGATGAAGCCAGAGTTGCATTATTTACAGCAATGCATACAAGTATACGAACAGTTGATCATTTAGGAGAAGTTATTAACTATAGCCATGAAATAGAAATAAATAAAATGCAGATGCACCGAACTAAGTGCACGTATGTAATAAAAATATTTTAGCATCTCATTTTACAGAACTTATAAAAAACGACATTAAAGATCAACCATACAGTTTATTAATAGATGAATCCACAGATATTGCCGTCCAAAAATATTTGGGTTTAGTTATAATTTATTACAGCACTACACATAACAAAATAGTTTCAACTTATTTGGACCTTGCTGAACTCGACGCATGTAATGCTGAAGGTATTGTTTCTGCCATAAAGCGGACGCTTAAACATTTCGACTTGCGAATTGAAAACTTAATGGGTATTGGTACAGATAATGCTTCGGTGATGGTTGGCGTAAATAATGGAGTTTTTGCCCGATTGAAACAAGAAATACCGCACTTAGTTTTGGTACGTTGTTTATGCCACTCCTTGCAACTGGCTGTTTCAGCAGCAGCAAAGGAATTTCTTCCGCGAAATCTTGAATTTTTAATTAGAGAGATATATGATTTGTTTGCTCGCTCGTCTTCCAGACAAGTTATCTATAAAGAGCTAAAATTGTTCAAGCCTGTCAGACTAGATGGTTATCCATAGAGTCTGCTGTGTCGAGAATTTATACGCAATAGCTGGAGCTTAAAACTCATTTTTCGATTGCTAAGTTGCACGAAAGGTGCCACACGTCAGAGCTATTGCACTCTATGTATGCGAATGATATAAACCATGCATATGTATCATTTATTTATCCAATTCTGATTGATATAAACAGAGTTAAAAAAATGTTTGAGTCAAAAAATACGGACCACACCTTATTGTGCGATAAATTAACAAACTTGATTGATACGCTTGTCACCAAAGTAACGTTGCCTACACATAAGATAGATATCTTTACTCAAAATATTCGTGACTATTTGGACCAAAGATGCTACCTGGGATTCCGATTCGAAAAACAGATTCAAGAAATGAAAGAGAAAGGTTTTCCACGGGAGGAGGAAGAAGTATTGCGGAATAGGTGCATACAGTTTAAAGTTTGTCTGATTAACGAAATAAAAAACAGATTGCCGGAAAATATTACTCTCATGAAACAAATATCCCGTATAAGTGTTGAAAAAGCCCTGCATGACAACAAAGAAAATCTTTTTGATACATATAATGATTCGGTTCGTAACAAGTACAGAATTAATTGCAAAAATTGACGATCAATGGCAGCAAATTCATTTACTGAGATGGAATGAAACAAAAGATAGAAAAAAATTTTGGAGCGAAGTCTTGAAATTCAAAGATGCACAAGGTGTTGCTCGATTTCAAGAATTAGCAACATTTGCGATTACACTTTTGGTATTGCCACATTTGAATGCCGATGTGGAAAGACTTTTTAGTAGCATGAATATTATATAAAACAAGCAGCGAAACAGAATGAAGCTAACTCTTTTGAAATCAATTCTAAAAATACGCTGCGGTATGCAGTTAATGGTTAAGTGCTGCAACAATTATGAAATTCCTTTAAATCTTATAAAACAAATTGGGACGAAGGAGTCATATCAGTCTGATAAGGATAACAGTAAGGCTGAAAATGAAAATGCAGATTCATCTGAAGACGATTTATTAATGTAAATAATATCTTAAGCCACTTGATTTTTTTAATTACTAAAGGTAAAAAAATTATATTAACAACAATAAGATTTTTAATATTAAACGTACTTTTACTTTTTTTTGCTTTAATTCATATATCTTAGGAATTTTAGTGGTTTCAAGGGGACATCTGTTCCACACTCAAATACATTTCTCTAAGTGCTAAGAAAATATTAAAAAAAATATAAACAGATAGTATATCACACAAATTATAGTGAGTCAGTGTTATTTTGTTTGAGAGTGCTGGAGAAAAGTAAGTACATTATTTTTTATTAAATTTTAGTTTTGTACTCGTAGTTAGCAAAGATAGATAAATTACGCCAATCATGACTTTAGTTATTAGTAGTTTAATATTCAATCATGCAAAATTACACGAGTACTCCTCAATAGTTTCTTTTTGAAAGTTTTAGCAATCGGTATTATAATTACAGTGCAATCTCCGTAATTCGAGCTAATTGTTGCAAGAAGATGTTCGAATTATGGAATGTTTTCGGAAAAATCAAAAAATATTTTTGATATCTGCTGGATTTTCTATCTTATTTAAATAATTTAATTTTGCTCACAGATGACTGATGCCATGTCCGAATCTAAAAAGAAATGTAAACAGTACAGTGTCGATTATTTGAAATTTGGCTTCATTCCATCATTGCCGGACAAACAATTGCCTATGTGCCTTTTATGCAACAAAGTTTTGGGCAATGACGCTACGAAACCATCTAAACTGCAAGATCATCTGAGAAGATGCCACCCTGATAAAACAGAGAAAGATTTGAAATACTTTCAAACACTCAAAGATAAACTTCAGAAGAGACCTACACTGGACAGAATGTTCGCTTCGACGTTACAAAGAAATGATGATGGTTTGCGGGCGTCTTACAATATCTCGTTACTTATAGCAAAATCCGGAAAACCGCACACTATCGGAGAGAAGTTAATTTTGCCAGCCGTTGAAGAGGTTTTAAAAACTGTTTTACACAAACCTGCATCTGATATCATTGAAAGAATTCCCTTAAGCAACAATACTTTTGAAAGACGTATTGATGAAATGAGTTCTTATATTAAAAGCTTCTTATGTAATTTTATTAATGTATGTAATTATATACAACTGCACGAGTCAACTTTACCTGATAATGCAGCATTATTATTGGCATATGTTCGTTTTATTATGAATCAAGAAATCTACGAAGAACTGCTCTTCGCAAGAACTTTGATAACCGACACTAAAGGTGAATCAATATTTCATGTTTTGAAGGATTACTTCATTGAAAAAGCAATTCCTTCATCAAATATAATATCAGTAGCTACAGATTTCACCGCATGCGCCCTCCTTTCTGCGAAGGAGGGTCGCGTCCATTTATGGATTAAAGATCTCTCGTCAGATCGGTAAGCATATTCCTAAAGGTGGAGTTTAGTGGGTAAAAGTCTCCACATAACCACGCAGCCGGCTGCGTGGTATGGTATGAGCATTCTCCACCTCCCTACCCCGTCACCGGAGGGTTGCCCTTAATTGTAAAAAAAAATAAGGGGATGGGTGCTGTGGAAACCCTTTTTGAGTCCCAGGATCAAGTTTTTTTCCCCAAGGGAATAAACCAATTTTCAAAACGCTATATTATATACGCAATACTTAGCCAAAAGTTTGAATTCCGAAGAAGCAGTATAGAACGCTTTCGTTAAATTTTTCAATTTCCGCATTGACTAGTTTGAACTAAATCATTATCCGTGCTCATATATTAATAGCATATAAATACCCCACTGAACTTAAAAGAAGCCATTATATCCAATACCTTTAAACGAGCAATTCTTGTATATATATAATCGGAATCTCGGAAACGGCTCCAACGATTTTTATGAAATTTAGTATGCAGGGGCTTTCGGGGGCAATAAATCGATCTAGCTAGGACACATTTTTAGAAAATGTCTTTTCATCCATGTTTTTAGGCAATGAAAAACTGCTACAATATTATTAGAACTCGAAAGTACTATATCATTCCGGTGCCTACGTGGTTCTAACAGCTCAAATGGATGTCGGGCGATGCTGAAATCATTGACACCGGTTCGAGTCCAAATGTCACCGGTCTGACTCTTCTTTCCTTTTTTACCTTCTTTTGTGAAAAAATATATAATTTGGAGCCCTTTTTTAGTATACTTTTTTTTTAAAACACGAAACATAATGATCGAGATCAAAAAATTTTATTCATATTTCATCAGTTTATAATTTGTATCCAAATATACTTTAAAAAAAAAAAAAAAACGGTAACGAGCAAAGACACGAGCAAAGCCCGGCAATCCATATATATATTACAGGACAGGATGAAAGGTTCGGTAAAATTATAGTACAGTACGTCGAAGATTAGACTGCAAACACACCCTTGTTAGGAAACCGATGAAACCAGTTGCATATGTCCTAAAGACCACACATTCCCACTAATGAAGGATGTCGGACCTGATGATTAATGCTAAAAACATATCCTCATTCACCCAAGTTCCAGCAATTTTCGGTTTAAGTAACCTGTAAGGGTGCAGTTTATACAATCTATTAAATGGATTAACTATACTAAGGAGTCTACTTTACTCTCTGAGATTTGTAATTGTAATGAAATATCAAGACCGATACTGTGCAGCCAAAATCAATGATATTAATCTAACCTGTGGAAATTGAAAGCATTTTATCCTTTATATTAGCTGCAATTAACGTACCTGCAATGAACTTATCTCTTGAGATGTGAACCCCGGCGCAGCTGAACCTAGAAGGAATAGATCTTGCAGACCTCAAACTTCTGTCAGTTGGATTAAGAAAAAGTGCAATTAAAAACAGTAAAATTGAAAAGGCAATTGTGTTGCTTAGGAGTGTTTGTCTATAGATCATTTTGTTGTATGAACTGTTGTTCATTATTGTATCCTGTATATTTTTTAAACTTGTTTAATTCTTGTATACTTCGAACTTGAGGAGCAATGTGTTACCGGTGGCAAGACCCGCCAGGATGTCCGCGTCAGTAGAATGTTCTGTATGCAGACCAGCAGCACGCACGCACTTAGAATTTTAAGTTAGCCTTAAGCGAGTTATGTCAGCGTCCAAACATTTTTTCATTATAAAATTAGTATTGTTAAAACATACTAATTAAACATACACAAGCCCCCTCGTAACTCGATTAGCTCTTGTTTCTTTTTATATATCTTGTATGCTATTTTATAGTTATATGTTATTTTAGAGTACAATATTGTTCTCTTTTTATACTATGTGCAGTTTTAATGAATATGTATAAGTGAAAAAAAAAAACAAAACAAAAAGAAAACAAAAAGAAAAACCTTGAAGGTTTTTTTCTTGTCTGTATTAAGTTCCGTAATGTGTTAATATTTTGCAAACATGTGTCAGCTCACTTAAATAATAAACGCAATAGCACGAATTAAATAAAGTTACTTTATCTTAATTTTCAATGATAAAACGAATTTACATCGTATTGATCACAATTTACATATCAGTATATATTTGTTTTGGACTCAACTTAAATCTAAAGAAGATTTTGATAAAGGCAGACTGAACTTCTCAGCTATAGGTGCAAGGTATGGATATCCCGTAGAAGAATCAGATGTAGTCACGGAAGATGGATACATTTTGAAAATATTTCACATAGCTGGCAATAAGAGAAGACCAGTGCTTCTCTTAAACGTGTTCGTCTACTCCGCTGACACGTTTATTATCAGAGGAAACAAGTCCTTAGACATAACTCTCACAAACAATGGCTACGATGTATGGGCTCTTAATGCAAGAGGTACAAGATAATCAAGAAGTCACATTCACATGAACCCTGATATTGATTATAATTATGGGACTTTAGTTTTCATGAAATGGGTTATTATGATCTTCTAGCCGCGATAAATTTCATTTTAAAAAGAACAATTGAGCGGCAGCTGAGCGCCATAGGTCACTCACAAGGCAACACTTTTTTATGTGTTGGGATCGACAAGACCTGAATATAACGACAAGATAAAGGTAATGATAGCTCTTGCTTTAATTTGCTTTCTGCAACATTTAAAACCGTCTGTGGCGTCCGTGATAGCTGCAACACCAGTTATCGAGAAAGTGTTACAAGGTTTTAAAAAGGAAGAATTGCTCAGTGATAACTTTTTATTAAGACAATTATTTCAAGTGTTGTGTACTGAAAAAGAAATAGGCTATCAAATATGTGGTCATCGTTTTTTTTTTGCACTCGGTGGGAGTGATCCAGATGAACTAGAACATGAATTTTCACCTGTGATAAGAGCTTGTTGCCCACTATCCCACCAGCACGTGCAGAAAGAATGGAGTCCATATCAGCCAAGTAGTATTGACTGAAAAATTCGCCCAATTCGATTACGGTCCGCTGAAAAATGTCACTATTTACAATCCTATTTCTCCACCAAATTATGATTTAAGACTGGTGAAACTGAAAATAGCTTTGCTTGTAGGCAGGAATGATGGCGTATCGTCAATAGAGGATACGGAACTGTTACGAGACAAACTGCCCAACGTTGTCGACTACCATGTATTGCCATATAAGAAGCTCAATCACCTGGATTTTGTATGGGGTCGGAATGTGGACAAATATTTATTTCCGCACATATTGTCGATATTGGATACGTACAAATAAAATACATTTTATAGTTTAATATAAAATATTAATAATGTTTAATTTTAAATGTATTGACTATTATAAGCACGCTTTACTTAATTTGTTTATCATTTGTAATGCATTCGATGTAGTTTAACACTTTTTGATTATTTGTCTTTATATAATTCTTTGCCGTGTAGTGTGTGTTCACTGAACTTTTCCTAAGCAGCTGGAGTGATTTTGATTTAAAAAAAAAAATGTTTGTTTGTGTGGGTGGATGAATCAGATTCAAAACTAGACCCGGTAGGAGGCGCTGGTGTCAAGATCCAGAAATCACCCGCGCGAGGCGGTGACGTATCGCTAGTGCCCTGTAGAAAATTCGCACCGGAACAGTATGGTGGACTTTCTCTAACCCCTTTATCCTGTGTAAAATAATTTAACTTAATCGTAGACTACATCTATCTGGATGTTAAACTGTTAAAATTACACATTCAGATCATAACTATATAATTTTAGCAATTTCTATATCGAATAAAGTTTTAGTAAACAGGTTTCATATAACCCGGTAAAACATAAAAAAACGCTAAGTTATTCTGTAAATAGAACGGATATGATAGGGCCACGCTGCAGCTGTATAATTATGTAGCTAATGAGTCGGCTCAACCGGGGAAGGAACACGCTCTTACTATATAAAATATAAAACAATATAAAATAGCAGATCAATGCTGCTGAGTTTTATAAGGTGAATGTAAAGAACCGGATTCGTTTTTAATGGAAGTGAGGCATTACATCCTAATAGGGGTGACAACGCATCTGAATTTTGGTTCTTAATTGAGGATAGATGTAGATATCTATAGACCAGAGCATACACTTACAACCAGGTGGACTGTGTATTCAATTGTCACTCTTATTCTATAAAAAAAATTGATGCGAGCAGAATGCAACCTAATCTTCATAAACCCTTTTTTCTTTTAGATATATTGTTATCGTTATGTAATCGCAAGTGTTCACTATTGACTGATCAACATTGACAGTAAACATTCTACGTCATTACACCCTCTATCCTAGTGAGTATAAAAGCGTGTGCCGGCCATTGGAATATTATTCACTTCGGAGTAGTTAGGTAGTACCACTTCTGGCTCACTGAGTCAGAAGTGGTACAACGTTCGTCGACTCACGATCCAAAAAAAAAAAGGTTTTGGCATGCTCTGATCACGAATATGCGGTCCGTTTTTGCGTAGGATGCACGGTTCCGGAGATATGCAGATCAATTAACTCTTATCTAATTGATTTCCGGTGAGGGCCTCCACTGTCATTAGCGCCCCTATGTTCTTATCTATTTATCTATTGTTCAATGAATACGGTCATTGTCTATTTTTCCTCGACGTATGAGTCGGCTTATCAGTGCTATTGTAATATACTTCTTTTTTCCTATCTACAACGCTAATCTGAATCATCAATAAAACACATTACCTAATTTTGTTACAATTTTTATTTACAAAATACAAAATCTTATTACTTATTGTCTATAAAACAGGAGCGAAACACCTCATCCACTAAAATATCATTGTACAATATGTTTCCTGTAAATATCGTATCGTAAAAATATGCATTGAACATCCCTGAAACTTATATAGCAAATACATTAAGCAATATTCGCCACAAACTGAAGTCCACTCATTCTGAATCCTATCAACATTCCAGTTCCATCTTTTAAAATTCCTTTTAAAAAATTCTAGATGATTTCGTACAGGTGATCGTCCATATGAATCAAAATATTGACCGACGTCATTCGTATCGATATATAAAGTTACCCAATGTCACCCTGGTTTATCATCTGTATCCAAATTGCATATTATATACGTTGGTACGTGGGTATACATGGGCAGTCTATTAGCAGCATAAACATTGTTTTCTAGACTGGGGTGAATCTTTTTCAGATGTTGTTGTACATCTAGTAAAGTAAAGTAAAATTACAGCCAATATACGTCCCACAGCTGGGCACAGGCCTCCGCTCATTTCTATGAGGGTTTTAGGGCAAGGAATTGTCAGCCGCGCTGCCCCAGTGCGTGTTGGCGAACTTCAAATGTCTTCGAAATATTTTTTTCCTTATTTCTCTGACATGCAGGTTTCCTCACGATGTTTTCCTTCACCGCCAAGCACGTGGTAAATCAGCACTTAAAATTGCAATTAATAATTTCATTGGTGCCGGTGGGGATCGAACCCGGTTTGCTCGCGTACTACAGCGTACTACAGCGAGCGCTAACCATCTGAGCTACCATGGCTCCTACATCACATCTAGTCTATCCATGATGGATCTACGTCTAGTATATCCATGATATTACTGCTATTAGTAGATTATTACAGTACCAATCTACTCAATGACTAACATAGGAATGATCAATTATTATAGTGATTTCTAAATATTAAATTGCATTCTTTTGTTTGTTATACAAATCGTATTTGAGTCATCGATACATCGAACGAGACGCAACACGAAAGAATGTGAGATAAGCTTGTAAATGCATAAAGTTACTATCAGTTCCATTGCAGAAATTCTTTAGATTAGAATTATTACTTTCTGCAACTATATAAGACCAAGCAGATGCAGTCATGGAGTTAGTGTATAGTCGTTTGACCGCAGTGGATCTATCAATACTACATTTGTGTTACTTCAACGCATCAAAGGCCATGGATGTAAGTGTTTATTATATTGACAAACTTACTTTTCTTTCTGTTATTTTCTTATGTGTGTATGATTTAGTGTTAACAAATTATATTTAAATACTGTGTGTGTATATGATTAAACCGTGGTAGCTCAGATGGTTAGCGCAAGCTGTAAATTTCACAGTACGCGACCCAGGTTCGATCCCCGCCGGCACCAATTAAATTGTTAATTGCAAAACATCGTGAGGAAACCTGCATTTCTGAGAAAATTTTGAAGGCATGTGAAGTTCGCTAACACGCAACGAGGCAGTGCGGCGGACATTTCCTAGCCCTAAATACAAAGAAAATAGCAGAAATTGAAAAAGTTAAAAAATTCTTTTTTAGCAATGACAATCATTAGTTGATCATTAGTGAATGTGATTCTGTTTACTTAAATTACAGGAAGACAAGAGCTGAAGGAAGAGATGGGATGATGGGAAGTAATAAAGCATTGTTATGTGAAGTTTGTTGGAACAAACATATTTTTAGTCACGTGTAAATACTTTTAATTTTTTGGTTCAAAATGACACAAAATCTAAAAAATATTAGATACATAATCGACATGGACGGATTTTACTTTACATATCCTCACAATCATTTTCAATGTAGAGAAATGGCTAATATAGACGTAAAACTATCTAATAAAAATTATGCGTTTATCGATCATTATTTGTTTCGGCCAAGTTATCCTTTCAATTATTTGTCCAAAGAAAAAAAAACTGTTCGTTATTGCGAAACACACGTGCACGGTATTCCATATTTTGACGTGACCGAAGAATTAAAATGTGCCTACAAACAAAACATCATTCCCATATTAAATTGGTACATTAAAAATTTGTGCAAGGACGAAGTGATCGCATACAAAGGTGGTTCAGCAGAAAAACAATTTTTAAAAATGTTGACGACGAATGATAGAATTTTTAATATTAAAGAATACAAATGTCCAAAATACAATGATTTGGTAAATGTCATAAATTTAAACAAACGTGATGTGTGTAATAATCATATATTTGCAAAAAATAATCATAAAATTTTACATTGTTCTTGTGATGAAGTGTGGGCGTTTTACAAGTGGTTATTGCTTGAAAATAAAGTTTTAAATGAATTATAAATTTTGTTTGATTTCCAAAAAACATTAGTACACAAAAAAAAAAAAAAATATATATATATATATATATATATATATATATATATATATATTAATTGTTTACACCAACACTTTCATTTTTTATTTCACCCCTTAGAATTTTAGACGAGTTTAATGTTTCACTTTATACATCCGTTTATTGCTATTGTGGCAGGACCAAGTGGATGTGGTAAGTCAAATTTTGTAAGAAATTTCATAAAATCAATTACAGAAATATGTAATTGTGATTTTAATCAGATCACATGGTGCTTTGATGAAATGCAACCTTTATATAATTTACCAAATGTTAACTATCATCAAGAAATTCCAAATCTTAATATGTTAGATGGTGAAAACCCACATCTTGTTATTATTGATGATCTAATAAGAGAGTCCGATGGAAGAATTGTGGATATATTTACAAAAGGTGCTGGAGGCGCATGGATATTTAATGGTAGATTTAAAACAGAATACCAATAATTTTTGTCGTATCAAGACAAATGTCTTCCCATTTAATGGTTTCTGTATAGTCTACGTCCCCACAAGAGTTTAAATACACCAAGAATCAAACAATTCAAATCATTGCTAAATGATGCATCGTTGACTCACAACGCATAAACATTTGCTAAACGTTTTGCATACGCTTAAACCAAAATATCAAAGAGCATTACTTAAAACGTGTGATGAAGAAGAAATTAACTGTATTTGTGAGTGTATTTATAACTTTTTACAAGGAAAAGTACCTCTTAAAGATCAAGATAAACAAAGATTTAATAAACACAAAAATATACTCCGTAAACTAGTGCGTAAGTGTGAACAAAGACTAAGAAAAATTATAATTATACCAAAAAGAGGGGCTTTCTTACCAATAATATTAGGTGCAATATTGAGTGGATTAGTGAGTGGACTGGC